CAAATGAGATGTATGGTTTTCTGATCTTAATTACATGTACATGTACAGTATAGATTTTGACGATCTTATTTCTCTTTTTCCTCCTCAGTTTTAGTTTTGATTGAGAAGATACACAAACTGTCTCAAACACTCCAGACAGTTTGACCACATCTCCAAACACCAAGTACAGAGTTGAAAATGCATGTATGATGCAAAGCAGAGTATTTTTGACAAATTTTGAGGTGTTTGGAAATGTGGTCAAACGCTGTCTTGAGTGTTTGATACATCTTGTCAATCCAAATCTAAACTAAGGAGAAAATGGTGATATAAAATCGTAAAACTCTGTGCTAATTAAGATCAGATATCCAAACACAATCACAGTCATGATTTCTTATGTTGAAACTCTATAAATTATTAATGAGTTTGAGAAATACATGCACATGTGCTACAAGAAAAGTGAACATGAACTCTTCAGGGTGATTATTGTCTTTTGCTCACATGTGCCAGATTCCACAATTACATGTAACATGATGAAATTAGTGTAATGTATATTGCAATCCAGTATGGTGAAGGAGGAAAGGTAACCAATTAATAATCACTTGTTGACTTTGTTTTCTAATTACCCTACCCCAGATGAGTGGAGCATGGAGGATAAGATCCTGTTTGAACAAGCATACAGTTCTCATGGGAAAAGCTTCAAACGGATCCAACAAACAGTGAGTAAAACAATGTTATGTTCAGCTTGAGAAAATTGCAATGAACAAATGTATAACGCAGTTGAAACATTGAGAAGGGTCAAACTGGAAGTGCCTTATAACGCTCTGTTTCACAGTTGGAAAAAATGTCTCAAAAAATGATGATACAGTGTATTTATTTACAAACCTCTCAAAAGACTTCACAATAATTATTATAATTGTAAAGTTTGAAATCCACTCTATCATCATTTCTCTGTTTGTTAGAAGTGTTGCAGTAATTTTTTGGCTGCAGTGTTGGATCATGTTCATTAGGAACAAAGTTGCGGAATTTATCCCACCATGGTGAATTTGTGGTGGGATGGATTACATTTTGCTGTGTCCTAAATTGGGTTAATACTTGCGGGTAACAACATGCAGAGTAGCTGGCAAAGTCATTACCATGACTTCTTGGACGGTTTTCTCAATATCTGTAAACAATTATATTTACTGAGTGACAAAAGTAACTGAAAGTTGTATTGGTTTTTGTTTTTGTTCTATATCTTTTAGTTGCCAGACAAGTCAGTGGCTTCCCTGGTTAAGTATTACTATTCGTGGAAAAAAACAAGAAGCCGAACTAGTTTGATTGATCGGCAAGCAAAGAAAATGGCTGTACAAAAGGAGCCCATCAAGTAAGTCAATCTGATCAGCTCTTGATATCCCCTTCAAATAGTTATCATGAACTGTGTCTGGTTTTCTGAGCTGTATATCAGACTCTGCTATTCCGTCATACTCTTGAATTCTGTAAGACAACCTTGGAAAGTTTCATTCACTCTGACACCAGTTGCATGTTGACTGCAAATGTACGGCAATGTCTAGCACATTGACACTGCACTTTATTACTGTTCAACATGTAAGTGAAAAAAAAATGCAAATGTGCCCAGCATGCACATGTGTAGTGAAATGTTCTCTATAAATTTGATAAGCAGTTTTATTCAATTATAACAAAGTTATGTAGAATGCAGTAATATTGACTGCCTCTGCTGTTTTTGGCACAGTGATCCTGAGAGTGATAATAGTGATTCAAGTGACAGTGACTTTGAACCAGAAAAAGAGGTATGACTACCATTTAAAAATTGTACAGGTGTATTAATGGGATTCTATTCAACAGTATACCCTTTTAATAAATATGTTCCATATCAATTTTTTTATATTTAGCAATCAAGACAAACAAATGGACAGAGCAAACCAAAGATGATAACCAAGCCACCCACTGTAAGTACATCACATCATGTGTAAACTAAACATAAACGTAAATGTTCATTCACTTCAAATAATGCTTTTGTACCCTACCAAACAACAGCATTTTCCATGAGTTTTGGGTGTTGAGACTGCAAACCTTGGTTGTGGACACCTCCCAAAAGCAGACTCCTAGTTATGGTCCCAGCTACTGTTAGTACTACTTTATATATACTGCATATTAAGAAGTCCCCTTTGTCCCTGTTGAGGCAGAAAGCCGTAACTAAACCACACCAACAGTCTTGATCCTTTGCCACCTTCTGAGCCTTTCCCCTTGTACACATGTACAATTGTATGCAGAACCCATCTCCTTCAGTTCCATTTCCATTTTTTCCATCATGTTGTCTTTGGCCTCCCTGGCTTTCTTTGTTCTGGTGGTGTCCTTCTTAAGGTTTTTGTGTGGTAAATATTTGTTCCTGAGACATACTTTAAACATGTGGCTGAACTATCAATCTGAGCTTATGATTCTGTATTTTTATTACAACACTAAGAGAGCTAAACATAGTAGGCCTGGACACATGGTGCAATAATTATTCCATGCAGTATTGCTCACAATGGTTGAACCGAATCATGTGTCCAGCCATGAAATTGCTGCATGCAATACTGCATGTAATATTGCAGGAGTACAATCTCATTCTACTTCTACAATGTTGCAAGCAACAATCTTAGGGGTGGAAACACAATTGATAAATGTTGTGCCAAATATTGCATGAATTGTCGCACCCTGTCACTGGGCCTTAAGACTGCATTAATCTTTTCCTTGCCCTCTCTGAAAACCTCCTCAAAGTGAACACTTGTAAGTTGCTATGTGAGTCATTTGTCTGTGAAATATTAATGACTGGCACTATCTTATTGTATTGTGATCATGTACATGTGATCTTACACAGGGAACACCAACAGCTGGCATTACTGGCCCTTGTGTTAACTGTCGCACACAGAGCTCTCAACTTCATGCAACTCAGAAGGGGAACATGTGCAGTGCATGTTATCAGTTCTTAAGGTATAGGATAAAGGATATTGTTATATAAACACCAATGGAATACTAGGTGAGCTTTTGCCCAAAACATGTAATCTTCACGAGTGAAAAGATCATTGTTGCTATGGTTGGATAATAAATTGCACCTTTTGCAGCAAAAGTGAGTTGATTTAGTATTTTATTGGTGTTTATATAATAAATAGAACATTACATGGCCCATGGCTTGGAGATACGAAATTTCTCTTCTCATGTTGAAAATATTTCTCTTGTTTGCTGGGCTCACCCAGGAAATATTTTTTAACACTTGCAGAGAAATCTTGTTCTTCTCGCAGCCAAGTACAGTAGTATATATTTTATATTTCTACGTATTTTTGTTAGCTTAGAACATAGAGAAGGAAACAGTGATTCATATCTTTACGCCACTGTGTGATTTTCTTTTCTTATGTAGACTAATGTATAGCTTGACATTTTCACTCACTATTTGCACTTGTAAGCAATCATGAGGATATTAACATCCTTTCCTGGGAGGATATGGATTTAATACGTCACTTCCACAAAGGTTATGGATGTAATTTCGTATTAATTTTACAAGAGGTGTATTTTCCAGTAAAACACGCCTGTCTGAACATGTATATTAAAGGTTGTTAAAATTATTATTATCTCAGAAATCACATTGAAGCATTCTTACAAGTCCCTGGCAATAATTTGTTACAATTTTTAACCATCTTTATGTTGGTTTTTGTCGGATCTGACAGCAAGTTAGTGCAAAGGTCAATTTCCTTTATGCCAATATCTGTATCTAAATTGAAACTTTAGAATGCCCAGGCTGGCTTGGAAAACAAGCAAACAAATTTCCAAAACATTTATCCAATAACAAGTTTGCTTGTATGTGTGTTTAATGTACTAACTTTACTAACCCAAACTGACAGTGTGAAATAATCTTTTGCTCTATATTAGTCAAAAAGCACATCACAATTCAATGGAGGTACCAACTTTGAGTCTGGCCTCATTTTACAGGAGAACTGGAACTCTGCGACCGAGGCACGAAGGACGAGAAACAAGAACTGGACACCGTGGAAATAAAGTCAAAAGAAAAGCACCAAAGGTTTGTCTATTTTCAGACATACATGTATATGAGAGCCAAGTCAGTATCTGAAAGCCCCAACAATCAGTGAAAATCATTTTGAACATATTTTGTTCTCACAATAACAAGTTTGGTTGTATGTGTGTTTAATGTACTAACTTTACTAACTTTACTGGACTAAAATGAGGCCGAATAAATTTTATTTGTGAGCAAAAAGATGGTAAAATCTGCCTCGAGTTTTACATGACCATACTGTGCTCTGACTGGTTTAGCAATAACAGCAAATGTGTCAAACTGTAGCCATTATATATATGAAGACTGTAATCTTTGTGATAATGTGCTATTTTATGTGTAAGAATGCATGTATAAAAATGTACATGAATGAATCTCAACATGTACTTGTACATGTATAAGTATGTTGTAATTTATGCATCCTCAGTTACTTGTGAGATGTCAGGCTCAACGGTTAGGGTGCGTATGCATTAAAAGCGGTTCTTCTGAGTTTAAATGCTCTTCTTGTGCTGTTAAAGCAATCTTGTCTAAGAGATTTTATGCCTGAATTTCCAGGAAGTTTGGGAAATGCTCACTACTACATGTACCTTAGTACAGTTGTAATTCAAAGAGTACAAATTACTGTAAATGCTGAAATGTACTTGTATAGAACTGTCTTTGAGAGTTACTTGTTTAGTACAGTTTATGCAGCAAAAACATATTGTACAGGCTCAAAACTAGCATCGTAAAACCCATGTTTCTCTCTTCCAAAGTAAATTGGCAAAATGAAGTTCTTTCTTTGGATTAGGGATAATGTAGATCACGTCTTGGGATGTGAGTAGTAGTTACAGTAGAAGGCTAATGTGAGGAAATGACTTGTCCAGCTAAGAGTTCCTGTCTGGTTAATTCATGAATTTTCTACAATGTACAATGTAACCCAAATTTTCCACCTGTAATCATTATCATTCCACCGGCTGGTAATCTAAAATTCACTGTCAAGTTTAAATGTAGCGTGTAATAATATTGTTTTTAGTACATGCATTAATTATAATGTTAGACACATACATGTAACACTGTCTATGCTCTGGTCTTCTTGTCCCTGGTAGGGAATGGTTTTGTCTCAAGAGTATCTTGTCTCTGTGTCTGGTACCCATGGTGATAGCCATGTGCGTCCATTGGAGATGGAAATAGTAAACCTCAAGCGGCAAATCCAGGCTAATAAACAGTCAATAAGTCAACACAAGTACCAGCTGGAGAGTGGAGTTGAAACCTTGAGACCAGGAGATGTAAGTGCAGTTAAGACTTGAGGAAATGTTACAACCTGACTATAGTTTCCATGTAAAAATCTGGGAACAATTTCCTTTCATGCATTGTGATTCAATCACTGTTCAAAACACCATTTTCGTATAAAATTATTGGGACGCCATGTTCCTTTCCATGTTTTCCTTTATAAGCCACTACGTGAAAAGAAAGGAAAATGACTCGATTATTTCGATTCAGTTAAGGTAAATGTATGTGCTTGCGCTATCATTACATCAGCTGCTCGATCCTGGCTGCATTTAGCGCCACGGGCTCCTTACATCGTCTTGGTGTCCTCTAATAGATAAACTAAAGGTTCGTTTGTTGTGCTTTTTCAGCAAAATATCAAGAACAACGCCAGGTGGTCAAATGAAGAGTTGCTATTGGCAGTCCAGTGTAAGTACCTTGAAAATGAAGCCTTTCAGGGTCAAGACGTTGCAAACGGGTCACGCAGACATGTGATTACAATAACAGAACTTATCATCCAATCTCACCCTAACTTGAATTGTAATGTGTTTTAACCTTTGGGAAAATGGACGGTACATGTTAGGTTAAGTCTGCATCAGACCAGTGGCCCATACAGCTAGAGCTTATCCCAGTTTCTGAAGCATGAAGCGGCTAGGAGTGTACATGTATCTACCCCCTGGATTGAATGTAGTCCATCGGAGGGTTACTTACGCCCCTAGAATTTAATTCCCTGGTTCCCTCGTATACCCCTGGGTCAGGGTGTAGAGAGACACTGCAAGAGTAAATTGTCTTGCCCAAGAACACAACGCAGTGACAATGGCCAGGACTCAAACCCGGACTGCTCGATCCGGAGACTAGCGCGCTAACCATTGGGTCATTGAGCCTCCACCATTTTGGGGAAAATGTGTTATATATAAAATGAATACCGCGCATCACCATCAGCAAGTAGAAATTTATTGATTTACTACTAATTCGTCAGAACGAAACCTGATTTCCTTTACAGCTGTAAGACGCTATGGGAAAGACTTCCAAGCCATGGCCGAAGTGTTAGGCAACAAAAGTGTAAGTCAGTGCCGCAACTTCTTTGTGAACTACAGAAGACGTTTCAACCTTCAGCAAGTTCTTGAAGAGTACGAAGCTGAACAGGGCATCACGAGCAGTGATAGAAAAGACGATGATTTACAGGTTCTACACATGTCAGGATCACCGGGGAGTAGTGGCAACTCGTCACCCAGTCAACCAGACAGAGCCTCCCCCTCCATCCCCACCCAGGGTATGTAATGTTTCTCACTTCTAAGTTGTAAGGAAAACGGAACGAGTAGCGAACGCCTTTTTACGCCGAAGACGACATTATGTCAAAAACGTTTGTTTGTTTGTTTGTTTGTTTTTTACTTTTTCAGCCATTTTTAAAATATTTTTAGCCTTGTATTTTGTCGGAGCTAGGTGTTTTGTATCTTTCTCGTATCCGTTTCATATGTCATTCATCGTTACTCACCAAACGGTAAGTTAAAACTAAAAACTTGTAATCTTGAGGTTTAAACACTAACCTACCGTGCTTGTTGTAATTCATTTAGGCATACCCAGCCAGCCACCTCCACTTCTAAAACCATCAGTGTCACAGGCTCAGCGCCATCCACCTCCCTTGCAACCTCAGGCCGGAATCCCACGGTCCAGCCAGGGGGGGCTACAAGGACCGCCTCCACTGATTAAGCCCATGGTTCCACCTATACGTCCACAAGTGAGTGGTACAGTAGAAATGTAGGCCCGTATCACGTGCAGAGAGGTTTGGGCAGTTATATTCTCGTTGTATTAGAGTTATGCTACGTAGCAAGTGTATCTTTCATTTACGAACGAGAGCTCTTTTCCCGCATTCTGGTCGTGCTCACCCCAACAACTCCCCTCTTCGTCGATTTTAGCTCTTGGTTTAATTTTCACATGACCAGCAGGAAGAAACTTTCCCCTCGTAGGGGACGCCTACTTCGCAGGCTACATTAGAGAGTAAATACTTTAAAGGGATCACAATTGTCGCACTTTCGTGAAGGCATGTTTAATAGTGACTGTGTTGTGCAAAACCATTGCCAGAGGGTTTGTAGGGCTAAATATTCTGAACGCTCTAGACAAATGTGTTGATTCTGAGTGATAAAGTCCACTCATTACAGAAAGTTGTAAGCATGTGTAAGTGTCAAATGAAAGCCACTCATATGTATTTTTATCACCTTTTATATAATTATTAAATGAATGCGCGCGCTCTGATTGGTCAATCAGCTATGGTTTATTGTGCCAGTGAACTCATGGAAATTTCGCGTGTCTTCTGAATTATTATATAAAAGCAATAGACCACAAGTTTCTATGGTTTAGAGGCATGATGAACCACTTGGGATGTTGGAAGAATACTCGAAGAATTCGTAAATCACKMGCCKSMGGCKMGTGATTTACGAATTCTTCTCGTGTTCTTCCAACATCCCGCGTGGTTTATCAGCCTATAAACCATAAAAACTTGTAGTCTATTGCTTAAATAAAGTTTTGGACACGATCTTTTGGTCTCCTACTCGTCTGATCCAATCAAAGTTCAGGCCCCTTTGACTTCTCCAATGGAAACGTGCCAAGATGTTAAATTATAACAAAACCGGTACCTTGATTGAATGGTATTGGTCTCACAAATTGCACTGAATAGATGAAGCAGCTTAACTACGAGAAAATTTCCATTCGGGATTCTAACTTTGGTCTTGTTTTTATTTCAGCCTCTTCACCCTCAAGCCAACCCTATGATGCGACAGTCCCCACCGGCACCTCCACATTTAATTCAGCAAATAATGGAGCAGAAACCCCTCGGAGGTCCTGTTGGGAGATCTGAGTCGCCACATAGCGCCTCTGGAACCCCTCCCTTAAGGCAGACGCGCTCTGGCATGTGATGACATAGCCTTGCTGTCAGGAAATTGCTTTCAAGCTAACAAAACGTTCATTTAAGAATATATATATTTTTGTTCATTTCAAATGATAATTGCGTTTTTTCAATCGAAATCCCGTCTTCGACAAATGACTGAATCCGTTTTCGTTGAAGAGGATGTTGAGTTACTCTGTGCCTGATGTTTATTTCCAAGGGCTCTGTTTGATTCGATGATGACAGCCAGAAACTTCTAACAATTTGTTTGTCAATACTGTTGTCATGTTCTGACTTTTAGCGGCATCTGACTTATTTAATCCTTTAACTCTTGCATGTAATAAAGCTGGTTAGAAACGAGACAATGTTTCGGAAATTTCCACTTGGGAAAAACGACCCAACGACCGAAAAGTACTGCTCAATAGCTTTCATTTGAATGGTCACACGCTAGGGTTTCATCTACAGACCAAAGAGTTAGAACCACCTCGCACAGCATAATAAACAGTACCACATGAAAATACTGCTCAATAGCTTTCACTTGAATGGTCACACACTAGGGTTTCAACAACAGGCTTGAAAGTTAGAACCACCTTTTACGTAATAATTGCGACGCTCAACAGCTTTCACTTGAATGGTCCAACTTGAGAATTTCATCAAGTGACTAAAAAGTAAGATACCCTTTGTATGATGCCAGCCTTCGAGTCGTACGTCTCCGGAAGAGAAGGCGGAAATTCAGGCTTATACTATTTAAGGTTTGAATCTAGTCAATGTCTTTCTTTTGATGAGTTCTGAGGTAGATAAAAAGATAACAGGTGTTTTTGTTAGGGCTCATTAAAAAAAGAAAGAAATCACAAAGCTCTGTACAGAAACAAATATACTAAAAGCCTATATGAAGCAAGCACACTATTTAAATATTTTGGATCGTTGTCTCAACAGGATTCGTTTCCTCGCGAACGTTTCCTTTCTCGTTCAATCTCTTACAGTTTGTTTTCAGATCGTTACAACGGCTGCGAATTTTAGCTTATTTTGTTATCTTTGTTACACCTTGTAACCTCGTTGTGGTTTGTGTAATGGAATAAATAAAATAAAAAAGGTTTCTAAAAATTGATTTATATTTTCAGTTTTGCTTTAGATAACAGGGTCATACCGAGAGATTTTAGTGTTCTAGACTAGAGGTTCAAGTTGGGAAATTTGGAATGAACATTATCAGAATTTTGCTGTTCGGGGTTTTTTCGGAAATGAAAAGGTCTTATTCCCCCGTCGAGGTTTCAATATAAGGAAGCTTTATTGTCAAAAATATAGGCCTTAAATGACATTCTAAAATAGCGTATTGTGCTTACATAATTTCTTTAGTAAACTACGTTCATTGCCTCATTTTGCTTGCTTTTAGTTTACCAGATCTATATATTCTATTTTTCAAGAGGTTCCCTAATGGATGTCTGAAATATTCATATCAAACCAATCACGAGAAAAGCATTTAACCGGCATAAGAACCAATCAGAATATTACAGAAGACACATGCAACCGGCACCAAGCGCGGGAAAATAAAACATTCATGCTAACGGTCCTAACCCCAGTTCTATAACAGCAAGCTTCCACCAACACAGAGCGTTCTTTAGCAGGCCAGCGGCGTTTTCTTTTCTTTCTTTTAACGTGAGCATGTGACTTTAAAATGCTCGGTGAATGACGTCACGTCGGCATCGCTCCCAACTGGAGTTTTCTTCACAGTCACTTGAACGGTGTCCCACTCATTGAGAATGCCCGTGACATCTCGCGGAGTTTTCAATTCCACAGTAAAGAAAACCTGCCTGTGTTTCTCCCATGTATTTTGTACCGTTTTTCTATACCGAATTTCTATGGCGCGTTTCGTTGAGTTGGTGGCGGTCTTTATAACCAGAGACGAGTTCACAGCGACGTCAAAAATCTCGCCTTGTGCACCGTTGTAGTAGAGGGCAAAAGACATTCGTATGGTACTACCACACTCCAGAGTTTTATAGTCGATTCCTCTTTGCAAGCGAAGCAAGACGTTCTTCGCTTTGATGAAGCTTCGTGATATTCTCTGGAAAGACTGCCCAGCTCTTGTACTGCCCGACAGTTGGAATTTGAAAGGAAGAGGAATAGGAACAAATGTAGCGACGAGACTGCTCGTGTCAAGGGTGGCCTCCTGGAACACACGTCCTGATCCATCCACAAGCGACAGACGGAGGGAGGGAAGCTTCAAACGTTCCTTTAATGGGATAACGAGGCCAACTGTTGCGTTTTGACCTAAAGTTGAAGACAAAACGATACGTTTACTGTTTGCTATGCACCACGCTTGTGAAACGTCTGTTAACTAGGAGCTTTATTCGCCTTAGTTTCTGAGTCACGAACGAGGGCTATCTGCCTGACAAATTTACTGAGAGAGAGAACTGAAGGACTGACTGACTGACTGACTGACTGCCTCACTCGCTCGCTCACTCGCTCACTCACGCACTCAATGATAGACTGATTGAAGAACTGAATGACGTGCGAGATGGGCGGACGAATGGACTAGCGACGAGCTAACAGACATCGACACAGACATACAGACAAACTGAGACAGGCAGACAGGCAGACAGGCAGAAAGAAAGAAAGACAGACAGACAAACAGGCGGAAAGAAAAGACAGACAGACAGACAGACAGACAGACAATGACTGACTGGTTAGCTAGCCGGATATCTTAGTAGCTAGTTGACTGTCAGACGGACTTTCTGACTTCCTTATCGTCTGACTCACTGACTCACTGACTCACTGACCAACCGACCGACTGACTGATGAATGATCGACTGGCTCGCTAGTCTGTGATCTGACGGTATCGGTAACAGCTTGACTCACTCACTGACTTGGCCGAGCTGCTGACTAGAGATGACGGATAGAGTAGACAGACCGAGGGTTGTCATCATGAACGTGTTGGCTTGGTAACTCAGTCCTTGACTATATTTATATTCACTGACTTCAAACGGTAGGTTAACTAACTGACTGATGTTCTGAAGGAATACTTGGAAAGACGAAGGAAGCAACCCAAGTGACCTAACATTTCTTTTCCCCAAATATCTCCTAAGCTATCCCCTGAAAATGTTGAACGGTTACCTTACCTAACAGGGGGTAATCAATCGGATACTCAATCCATTGCCCACCAAGCTTATTCCTGAGTAGGAAGAAGTAATCGAACTCCAAGTTAAAACTACTGCTCGACTTGACCTTGAATGAATGCGTTCCAACTTCAACCGGGATGATTAGCTCCCACAAACCCAGAACGGGTTCTTCTATGATCCACACCCCCCCTTGGGCAAGATCTTCCGTTCGGGGCTCAAGTAATCCATTTGGATTGCGCAGCTGGACAAGATGAGCTTCTTCTGAGGCGAAGAATGAGACTACTAACTTTCCAACGGTGTCATCTACAGGAAGGGTATACGTCTTATCTCTCCCTGGAGCGCGCTTGTGTGGTCGAACTATTCTGCCAGAAGCCCCGCTTGATCTGACCTCCAGAATAGTCGCCGTGCCATCTAGAGCCGTGGATATAACACGTCCCATCCTCTGTATCTCTCCAGATGAGTTGAACTGCAGTCCAAATCCTTGGGTATCATCCAAGAGCTTAACAAAGGTGTCATGATTTTCGAATGTCCCACAAAAGCCAGACTCGGTGCTGTAGAAGAAGTTCACAGGAATCATGTAGTGCTGGGCTAAGCCAAGCGCATTCTCAAAAGTGTATTTTGGTCCATCTCCTTCTTTAGCACCGGCGTCAGTAAACACGAACATGGGGGAGCTGACAAAAGGATCGCCCTTCTCGATGGCGTCTATGATCCCGTTGAAAGTCAGCTCAGGACAGTCACGGCCTCCCTCGGCTACTAGCGTATCCAGAGCTTCAACAAACGATTTCACACTGGGACATCGGTAAACATTTCCCCATTCTGCAAAAAGGTGAAAATTCATGTTTGTTATGCTGTATAAAGTGGTTCTGACCTTGACCTCGTTTGATTAAAACCCTATGAGATGAAAGGTGAATGAAAGCTATTGAGAACTGAATACTTTCATATGGTACTGTTTATTATTACGTACAAGGTGGTTCTAACTTTAAAGTCTGCAGATGAAACCGTAGTGTGGAATAGTGTGTGACCATTCAAATGAAAGCTATTGAGGAGTACTTCCATGTGGTACTGTTTATTATGCTGTACAAGGTGATTCTAACTTTTAAGTCTGTGGGTGAAACCCTGGTGTGTGACCATTCAAATGAAAGCTATTGAGCAGTACTTTCATGTGGTACTGTTTATTATGCTATATAAAGTGGTTATAACTTTTAACTCTCTGGACGAAACATAAATGCTACTGAATAGTACTTTTATGACTTTCTATTTGTTACAATGTAAGGAGATGTTAGTGTTAAAAGACTAAGATAGATTTGCTTTTGAATGAAGCATCATAACTTACTAGGATCGTTGAATGGCGATAAAATAAAATCCACAGCTGAGTCTCTGGGATGAGCAGCAATAGCTTTGGCGATTTCCTTTGCGGCAGCTATCTCGTTTCCCATACTTCCTGTAGTATCAATCACGAATATAAGAGAAACACCGCCACTGATTCCCAACAGATTATCGACGTCTGTTTCATCCAGAATAGCACGAAGCTGTTTAAACACGTTTACGTGCTTGTTTGGTTTCTTTTTCCTGCAGTGACGGGGTAAATCGGATTCTTGGCATCGACCTTGAGTCCTCGGACAGTGACACTCAGGGGGTATCTATTTTGACGAAGAGATAAAAAATATATTTTTGAATTGTCTGTCTAGTCATTGATCATGAATATCGTTATGACATTTTCAAAGTAGCTGTGTCCGCAGATTACTTCGACAATTTGCGCGAAAAACTGGCTTCAGTTTTTTTTTTACATTACGAGAAAGGCAAAAGTCGCACAAATTATAAATGCATGTGTCTGTCCGCTTATTGACGATGAAAATTAGCAATTGAGCGCACGAGAATTCCTGCAGATATTGTTAAAAAGAAGAAGGAAATTGCAGTAACAAGCCATAAAAGAGGGGGTAAGTTTCTAAAGAAACTGTGGTGCTGCGTCGGTGGGGATTCGCTCCGACGAAGGGCTAACGCTCGAAACGTCAGCTTTCGAATCTCTTTAAGGTGGCCAATTCACATTATCAACCCAGTTGATAAAACCAAATTATCTAAGCCATAAAAGAGTACTGCAGCAATTTCATGAATTCAAAATAAATCAATACTGGCACTGGATTCCAAAACGCAAGCTAAATAAACAGCAAACAGACAAACTCTTCTAAGTTAGCGAAACTCGTGCTTGTACGAATATTTGTGACTAGTCGCCTTGCTGCAGCATTTCTAAAAGCTTCGTAACTGAACGTTTTATACAAGCCGCGTTGAGAAGATCGGGAGGAGAATTTAAAAGCAATCCCAGACTGATTACGATATCGATCCCTTTTTTCGCCAGTTAAGTGTACCAACAAACTTTTCCTTTTACATTTTTCCCTCTTAGATTTAACTTCCTGCTTTTCTTCAAAGAAATATCCTTTTTTTTTCTTAATTCGTCTTGCGAAAAGCAAAACAAAGCGAAACAAAAAAAAAAGCAAAGCTATGACAAAACTGAACAAACTTAACAAAACCAAAATCCAACAACAACAACCTAGAAGTATTTGAAGCTTTTTTTGCGTTATTTATTCGAAAAAAAGAGATTGCTTCATCGTGTAGAATGACCTAAATTTTCCACGTGATCGCGTGAATTTCGAGTGCGAGCGCGTAAGTTCCGCGTGTGATCGCGTGAATTTTCGCGTGTGATCGCACGTGAATTTCGCGTGTTTTCACTCGTTTCGCGGCGTGTATAGTTACAGGCAAGTCAGAAAAAGGCAAGTGTTACTTAATTGAATCTCTCACCAGTTGGCCGATCATCTGTCTCGCTTTAGGCATTTCCCCATTCGTGATGGCCTTTTTGATGTAGCCTGCGAGCTGCCTCTCTCTTCTCGCACTTAATCTTCTTCTCGTCATCTTTGACTCAGCCATTCCTGTCAAAAGAAAACCGGCGTAAACAGAATTGGTAAAGGTTGTCTAAAACTGGCAACTGAGTTTATCATCAGGTTTGTTATATCAGAATATCAATTCTCCTAAGTAACTGTACTATATTTCTCTCAATAGTTATCTTGAGAATTTGGCAGTGCATAAATTAAAGTCCATCAAAACCCTGGCCGGAACAGGCGGAGACATTGAGAGCTAAAGACACGCCGCTATAATCGCTCCCGGAAATGTATAACTGACTTGAAAAGTTTAATTTCAAGTACAATTCAACTGATGCCATTCAAGGCTTCTTTATTTTTTGCTCCCCTCTTGTGCTTAGCTCCAGACTCAGTCCCTTCCCAGGGTATATCTTTGTTTTGTTGGGTTGTTTCTTGTCTCAGGTGTACGTGTCTGCTCTTGTTTAGTATCTCATAACAGGACTGTCCTTGAAATGATCGGCCCTGTTCAAACATGTCTGCATGTGTAAATGGTCTGATCTATTCAGTTTGTGTAAAAATATTAGAAAACTTTGAGATTCCCCAAATTTAACAGCAGAAATTAGTTAGTTTTCCCTTAAAACAAGACCAAAAGGACCGTATATTAAGTATCCTTTCATATTTTAGGCCAAAACAGTAGTAATTTCATAGCCTATTTTGGACAAAAACATCTCCGAAATCATTCCCTACGAGGTGGCACAAGACACGCTCCCTTCTACTTTCTCAGCCGTCCTGAGTTTTCCCTTTCAGCGTCGTGGAGAAGTCAACCGTACTAACTTCAACTGATCATGGAATTGCGTAGCAAATGCGGTTTTGTACCTTCTTCACTGTACAGAAACACAAAAAAGAGAAGAAACGAGCATGGCTTTACCTTTGATAATCTGCATGGAGGCTTCTAAGTATTTGTTATTTCTAGGCCCAGTCATGGCGGCTCCACTGCTACTCCGATGAAGCTTCTCGCTGTCGCCCATCAAGTACTCTGCCGTCGTTTCGTCCAAGATTTGAAAGAAATCCCCAGCGCCCTCAGAAACATCGAGTAAAAGTACTATCGCAGCGAGCGCTGCAATGCCCAGCACTGTAACTTTCTTCATGGCTAGAAGAAAGCTATTGCTTGTGACAGTAAGAGTGTAAATGCTTTCCCACGCTGGCGTTTTCAGTCGCGGCTTTTATATACGTTATCCGTTCCAGTCGGAAGTGGGAGCTTCACAATCGAATCGTGCCGCTGGCGCCATGGGGCGCTCCTGGATGGTTTCGAAATCTTGAAAAGTGATGAAAAGGAATCAAAAGGTCATGACTGCGTTTTCGCCCATGTCCAGTTGTTTTGGAAGATAAAATACTTCAGATTAACTTAAAAGCACTTGGACAAGCCGAGAGAGAATCATCTTGCCTTTGATATATCGACAACAGTTGTGAGCTGAAATAAGTCACAACATTGTTGTCTTGGCTTCAAATTTGTTCAGCTTTTTTTTTAGCTAGGGAGTTCCGATATGTCTTGAAATACAAGGAACAATTATTATCGGAAACCAACAAGGGTATCAGCGTAAACAATTCTACTCTATCCAAAACGGAGGAAGTCTGTCTGAAGCTCCTGTTGTTTTAAAAGTTTCAAATGGATGCCAAAAAGGAAAAAATCTGAAGTTAAAAAAAATAGTAATTCGACTCTGGCACTTTTGCAACGCCTGAAAATGTCATGAAATCAGGTCATCCTGCACGAGTCAATATCAGTTTTCGACTTCCGTAGATTTTTGAGGAGTTAAGAGTCTTAAGAGGAATTTATGGGTCGGCTCTTAAGCAGCCTCCCCCCCCACCCCCACCCCCCCGCTGCTACTTGTGCAATACGTGGCGAAAGACAGAGTGTCCCAGGGACGAATTTAGGGGATGGGGTCGTGGGAGCTGGGGCGCTCCCTGTATTTTCCCTGTATTTTGGTAAAACAAAGTTGACCAACCGTCTCTGGAGCGAAATTTTTTATACGATTTCTGTGTGTGCGTTGGCGCGTGGGGGGTGGGGGGGGGGGGNCTTGCGCTCTGCCGCAATTATTCGGATCCCTCTACATGAACGTTCCGTTCCGTTCTCGGAAACTATAGGCGCGACCGATAAGATTTCAACCGGAACATTCGAATTAGGGCTTCCTTTAGCGTTAAAGCTACTCAGAAAAAATAGTACTTGCATCAGATTCCTAGTTCCCAGAAATGGCGTAACTTTTACTCTTTCCCAGTGATATCTGTTCCTGTTTGTCCTGTTTGAGTACATCCTGTCTGAGAGCTAGTGGCAAATAATCGAAGCCATGCCAAAGGAACTGGAACCGAGGAACTCAATTGATGATGATGATATTCAAAACAAGAAATTGTCTAGAAAAATAAAGTGCAAGGCAATAAAATGAACTTAAAATCATACTAAAAACCTAAGGGATATCAGCATCCAATTGGTGTTTAACACTGCTAAAGGAGACATGTGTTCAATACTGGTCGTCCAGGATCAGCACTCATTTGGGAATAATATTTTTAAGGGTAGTCCATTTTGGACCATTTTAGGGTAGTCCATTTGGGTAGTAAGTACATCGGGTTCGCGAGAATATACCCTCGACGGACCTCAAGAGAAAAAGTCGACTGTAAGAAGCCTAACTACCTGTTTATCATGCCAGTGAAATATAGAAGTATGAAGCCATGAAATTATTAACGCACTGTTGTAATTTTGTGTACTGGTTCCTAGGGGTAGTTGAAAAGAGACAGAGACGCGAGCTTCAAGACGTGGCGTGAGGAGCGAGAACCTGACGAATAAGGGAAATTATAACGTGTTTTTAGTCTACGGAATACGAGATCAAAACGTGTTTGACCTGAACAGATACCATCATGTAATTACTATTTGTTATTGCTTTAAGAAAACGGCAGGCCAAATAAAAAATAAAATGAAATCAAAGAAAAATTAGCAATGAAAATGGAAAAGGCAATGCAGAGATAACCTGGAACCTGGAAACGAAACAAGAAAATGCATCAGAGGTGACCTGGGTACTAGAGTGTCACTTGGCTGACACGTTGCGCCAAAACATATACTCAAACTCGTAGCAAAAATGTGGCGTTTACATCCAAAGATATTTCATTTTGTCTCTCTGTTTATCTCTGTTAGATGTTTTAATCCTTTCGATGATGGTCAGTATGATATCGATTGGGGAGGACCCGTAACATTACGCGAAGGCCAGGTAACGCCGGTAAGTTAAGTTTGGACATGAAAAATGCTCAACTACACTTTGTTCTGTATAAAGATTACTCAAGGTTTGTAAATCACGCAAACACATTTCTTTTACGTTAAGTGTAAATAGATGCCGAGATATAAAGTTATGTAAAACTGGCAGTTTATGTTGTGACGCGGTGTGTTATTGTAGTTGTGTATATAAGCTTATTTGTAGCTGGCATTTGCGGTTTGTGTTTTTGTGGCAGTTTGCAGTCAGAGCCATCTTCAGTTGAAATCTGAACATAAGCTTGTACTAAGCTTTTAACTTGGCATGAAAAGCCTGTCACACCACTGCAAAGAGTCACGTGAAATTACGGGAATGCCAATAGTATACACAGGTATACAGCCAATTAAACTTATGTCGATCAAATTTTCGTGACGTTTGTTCGCTTACTGCTTACAATTTTCTCGTAAGATTTTAAAATGACTCAGAGCTTTAATAAAGTAGAAACTTGAACCATGCCCTACGCTGTAATTTGCAATTGTGAGCTTCGTAAACAAACTAAATATTTCTCAGTTTAATGTAGGTTGGTTGCAATATAGTGGCAAGCCCATTATTTTGTGCTAAAATTTAGAAGTAATTTGTCACCCATAATATTATGAAAATAATTGCTTGCCTTTCAGGCAAATAAGGGATAACATACAATTTTTAATTTGTATTGACATTATACAATGAATGGATGTGGCATTTTGCGCTTTCAGGTGTTACATGTAAATGCTACGCAGGGCTGTCATTAAATTTTGAGTCACCCATTGCCTTGGTCTTCACACTCAAAGCAGACTTGTTACTTAAGGTCATTCCTCACATTTGCATTGCGCATCCTTACTGCGCATAATTTATGGCGTCATTAGCGCACGCTCGTGCACGCGCACATTGAAAAC